TGGACTCCCATATATTATTTGCACTAAGTTTAGTCGGGCACCATTTGCAGTCATCAGCCGACATTTGAAGCAAAAAAAAAAACAGGTAAAAAAAAAAAGCCGCGTCGCCGCACCACTTTTTGGGCAAGCTCCATACCAGAAACCGGAGACTTTTTTTTGTGGCCTTAGGGATGCCAAACACAAAAAAGGGCAAGAGGACGTCATCATCCGAAAGGGCACCCTCTAGCGACAGCTTTTAATTCGGAAATATTTTGTAAAAATGTTTCTTGCCCATAAACATTCTTTGGAGAAAACGTTACTTTGCAAGGTTTCAAAATGATGACGTCATTAGACAGAAAGTTATGGGGAGAATTTGGAGATCATTTTAATTTTTCTTTTTTTTAAATGAAAATCCTTCATTTGGTACCCATTGGTGATAACCGTTGCAAAATAATGATCAGAGAAAAGATGTTAAGACGAAAAAAAAGCAGGGAACTGAACAGAAAGTGAAAGCACCAGGTAAAAAGTCATTACATGCTTGGGACTGTCAGGAACAAGCATTCAATTCACAGGCCTAAATTGCAGTCTCCCTCCCCCACCTGATGTTTTCTAGAAATCTCCGCCGTTTGTGCGTACCAGACGGTACCGGTAATCTGTCATGATTTAAATGTTTATGTTGGCCTTGCGCTAAAATAAAGTATACAATTGAAATGGTTTATGGGACTTCATTAATGTTCTTATCATTAATGTTCAATTGACACTTGAGGAGAAGCCGAGGCAGAAAGCCGGCAGTTAATGGCTGTGGCTCTCTTTGTGTATTTTCACGGAGTATAAAAATGCATTATAAATGACAGCAGCTCACAAAAAATTACATAACTTATTAATTTTGTTTAACTGAAGTATACAATTGAAATGGTTAATGGGACTTCATTAATTTTCTTATCATTGATGTTCAATTGACACTTGGGGAGAAGCCGAGGCAGTAAGCAGGTAGTTATTGGCTGTGGCTCTCTTTGTGTATTTCCCCGGAGTATAAAAATGCTTTAGAAATGATAGCAGCTCACAAAAAATCACATAACTTATTCATTTTGTTTAACTGAAGTATACAATTGAAATGGTTAATGGGACTTCATTAATTTTCTTATTAATGCTCAATTGACGTTTGGGCGAGAAGCCGAGGCAGAAAGCAGGCAGTTCATGGTTGTAGCTCTCTTTGTGTAGTTTCCCGGAGTAACTGCATTATAAATGATAGCAGCTCACCGAAAATTACAGAACTTATTCATTTTGCTTTAAAGCTATAGTCTATCATTTGCAGCCATCTGGCGTAATTATTGTTGAAAAACATACTTGGTTGAAAGATAGTAAAGAAACTAAACTCCCTGTGAAATTATTCTTTCTGGCAAGCTGTCATTCTGAAGAAATCAACGAAAGAAGGCCTTTCCAACGGTGCGTCTTAAGACGCACAAGGGCAGATCCAGAACACAATTTTTTGGGGGGCCAAAAAAAATTGTGGTCCCCCAAAAAGTGGGTCAAAAAAATTACGGCGTGGGTTTCGGGGCCCGCTTAAGGGCCCCGAAATTTTTTTGGGATTCTAGATGCTCTGTGGTGCGATCTGAGGCAATTTCTGAATTTCTGGCAATTTGTTTTGAGGAAAAGATGGTGGTGTACTCATTGCCTGCCTTTATTGCGATGTCACATAAAAAAAAAATAATAATTGGCTTCTTAAGAAGCACCGTTGGAAATGCCTTCTTTCGTTGATTTCTTCAAAATGAGAGCTTGCCAGAAAGGATAATTTCACAGGGAGTTTAGTCCCCTTACTATCTTTCAACCAGTATGTTTTTCAACAATAATTACGCCGGTTACTTTTTTGGATACCTGCAAATGATGGACTCGGGCTTTAAAGATATTTTTGACTAAAAATGCAGTGTTCAACATAATTTTGGCGAGGGCAAATCAGTGTTTTATTAAGTTTTTCTTTCATTTTCTGAAAGAATATATTGTTAGGGTCATACTGTAGTAAGAACTAAGGTAAACTCTGTCAAATAATGTAGTGGTGGCGATAGATGCGAAAAAGGGCCTGTTTTCGCCATGTTCTCGTAGAGGTTGCACATGAAAACCTGCCCGTTGGGTTAGTTCCCCAATGGAATCCATTTTCATAGTAATATAAAAGTTATTCACTTTTGAATGAGGCATTGAGCAAAAATCCGCGTTTAGTTGTCGAATTATTTCTTCACAAAATTCGAATTACTGGCCGCCAGACAATAATTCAGCTCTCGTAGGACGGGTTATACACAAAATGAAAGTCTTAGGGTTGCAGACGTCCAAAATCGGAATAAAGTATTTTTCCCCGTTAAAACAGAACATCAGTGGCGTAGCCAGGAATTTTTCAGGGGGGGGGGGGGGGGGCGCTGGGGGGCTGGAACATTTCATGGGTGGGGGGGGGGGTCATGTAGATCAATGATAATTTTTTTAGAAACTCAAAATCTCAGTGGGGGCGACTCGGGGGGGGGGGCGACAAGGTTTCATGGGGGGGGGGGCTGTCCCCCCCCCCCCCCCCCCCCCGTGGCTACGCCACTGCAGAACATACACCAAAAATTCGAAATTCGTATTCGGATAACTCTCTTGTTTCAGTGTTTTTTTTAACCTTTTCAAATTCATGTTTTTTTTATTCATGAATCAATTGACGGAACGTTCGGCCATGACTTATGTACACCAGTGTTGTAGGTCTCGAGACCGGTCTCGGTCTCGGTCTCGGTCTCGAGACCACTTTTTGCCGGTCTCGGTCTCGGTCTTGGTCTCGGGAGCTGTGGTCTCGGTCTTGGTCTCGGTCTCGGTCCCCTTTGGTCTCGATGTTTTGGCTGGTCTCGAGTCGAGACCAGCCAAAAAGTGAGGGGGCGGATTCCGCCCCCGGCCCATAGGGTTAAGTAAAGAATCAGTTTAGGGCAAATGTGACTGCAGTGTGATGCTAATGGACATGTCTCTCTTCACTTTCTAGTGAGTGAGGCATAGTCCAATAACCATTGCTCCTCTTCTTATTTCTCGTTTTTATTGTGGGACGATCTGTTGAAACAAGCACTTTATAGCCATCCTCATTGATTCCAAATACAACTGAGATTTAAATCTTATGAATCAAGACTGAAACATTATTTTTACCGTCAGATTTTGTATTTTGAATATGGGGAACAATTCAACACTTTTCCCCTAGAAATATTGGTGATTTTTTTTCTATTTTCCTTTTCAATTTTTCCTTTATTTGTGGAGGCGGGAAAAGGTTTTTTTTTCATTATATTTATTAATGGATATTCATCAATTTGTAGACCGTTAAATTGGTATTAGTGGTGGACAGCTGAATTTTGTGATCTCTTTATTAAAATAGACACGACTTGGGAATAGAGTATGCAAATTACGTGAAATGTTCACAGTTACTACTCAATAACATGTTCTTTATCCCAATTGTATTTTTTTACAAAATGGAGCGTGCCATTTTATTTTTTTTCATAACTGTCACTTTCTTTTTGACTCGCCATGTATTCATCTTTTCATCTGTGATAAACACAAATTGAGCTACTGCCATGGTCACACAAAAATAGAGTCTAATTGCCTTAGAGTCTAAGTTCCATTAATCGCTATATGCTGTTTACGGCCATCACAATAAACTATTAATATATTGGCAATATGTCGTACTTGTTAATCACTAAAATATTCAAGTAAATCGCCCGGCAAAGTAGCCGATGCAGGCGATACGCTGGCACGGTACAAAACACAGAGAGGCGTGCGCACTGAGCCATGAATCCCAAAAGTACATCTCGCCCACCACATTCAGTTTGTGACAGCGCCATTCTATTGTGTCGGCCATATTCTCAAATAGGCTAATGACGATGATGACGGCGGGCTGAATAACAGAAGATAGATCAGGCAAATATGGTTCATCAATCTTCTATAGTATATGTAACGTTATTGACATTAAACAAAAATAAAGTGGCATTACATTTCAGCCTTAGCCAGGCCTTCTTCAGAGGTAAATGACAGATGAACAAGAAAAAAAAATGTAGGGGACACACAAACATGCAGGGTTGGAAGGAGAATCACAAAGAGGGATGTGGGGGGGGGGCAGATCAATCCATATCCGGCCACCATCTCTCAATTTTTTTGTACAAATCTATATTCCATGACTGAAATAAATCAATATTTTCTTGCTCCAAATTTTTTTCGAATCAGGTTTACAAGGAGGTCCAATGTAAAATTAAAGTTGCATTTAAATATCCGTTAGTGGTCATTGCTGAAACCAAGGGGTGGCTGTGGAGTTTAGGGTCCGAGTTCCTATAACAGATGAAACATCCACCTTTAATTTTTTTACTTTTGTCAAGTTTCAACATGTTCAAGTTTTGCAAAAACTAGTACAAATTGTCGTACTCCTAAGTTAAAGTTTCTTCATCAGATTTACACTTTATAGTAGTTAAACAATATTTGTAAAAAAAAAAAAAATTAAGTGGCAAAAATATATGGAGTTCATCAAATAAGGTTTTCCCTTCTTTAAATTAGGTTGCTTCCAATTTTTTTAATGATTGGGACAATAACAAATTCTGTTGCCATGCTGTAATTTATGGCATGAAGCAAACACGAAGAGCACTCGCATGACACAATTAAGCAGGTACAAGTGATTCCTAACTTTCAATCACTTCCTTCACATCCCCATGAACATCAACATCTCAAGGTCAGACTGTTCAGCTGTAATTAGTGTCTTGATGTTTATTTAGATTATTGTTATTTATTATCCGCGGTCTCGGTCTCGGTCTCGGTCTCGGACCATTTCGGTCTCGGTCTCGGTCCGCCTTGAAGGGGCTGGTCTCGGTCTCGGTCTCGGTCTCGCAACTTCAGGTCTCGGTCTTGGTCTCGGTCTCGGACTATCCGGTCTCGACTACAACACTGATGTACACGCACGAGATCAGAACCAAAAAGGCAACATGATTTTTTGATTGCTGTAGGCCGATACCAAAAATACTGTCTTACCTATTATACAGATCCAGAGTGGCGACTGTTGTTCAAAGGCGTGGCAGGAACTGGAGTGAGTCTGTATGACATGTGGACCGCAATGAACTGGACCTCGAGTTATGAGGCCAGTGGCCATCGCCGTGATAATTCCCTCTACCAAGCCTGGCGCAACGGACAGCTGCATGTCCGACAAGTAAGTATGTCAGGATAACGAAATAGAGGGTCCATCGCTTGCCATACAAACTTAATGTATTCATCAATGATTTATACACTATTTTGTTTCTCTTATTACGCTACTCGATTGATTCCTAATGCAAACTACTAAATGATAACTTTCGTCGTCTTTTCTTGACTATGTTTAATGTTTATTTTCGTGATTCTTTTATTACCTCATAAGCCCATTTTATGTTTTTCAAATGAAATTTGTCACCATTTAGTAGTTTATTATTGTTGTGTTTATCGGTCCTTTGAAACCAGCAAATATGGAACGAACTTACCAAGTCTTCACACGAACTCGTGGCATGGGCGCCACCATTTTATTACACAAAATGGAACGTGCAATAATGTTGGTGTCCCTCAGAACGTGTAGTAAATCCATGGGCACAGACAACCGTCAGCATACCTGCGAAAGGGCTGCTGCTGCCCAGCGCTGGGGTTGTGCTGACTAAAAGCAAAGCAAAAAGGGTTTGAAATCAGAATTTTCTTTCTCATAGATGCCTTCCATGGCTTACGAGTCCCACCTGCCAGGAGCAATCTGCATGGTTTTATGGCGCCAAACCCGCTGCCTGCAAACCGGTGCCCTCTGTTCTAAACAGGGATTTTTTTTTTACACAACTATCTGGGGTACTTTGTGCGCTTTCCTATAATGTTTTTTTGTTACCAGGCTTGAGTGGAGGCTCAAGTTAATTATTATTCAACTTGGTACAGATTTCGGACTTTATTTCCCTTTTAAAAAAAAATCCTCCAGAGCCTCGAATCAGAAACTAAAGAAAATTGCTGCTATACAATTAGTATCTGATTGAAAATTTTCTAAGATAAAACTTAAAATTGTTGAAAAACAAAACAAAACCTGAGTCCTGTAGCCTTGATTCAAGTCGCCTGAAAAATGGGTACCCTGTACTATTGTGTAAATAAAAATTCGCAGCCGGGCAGTAAGAGTTTGACTAGGAGGGGCTATTTGTCGCGCAGACCACATGGGACATTTCCTGGTGAGAAGTGGCTCGCTATTTCTTCACCCAATCCTGGTCATTCCTAATCCTTTGACACCCCACTCCCACCCCCACAAGACTAGTGTTGCACTACACCAAATACATGCTAAAATAGGAAACGACGCAAAATCGTACACAAAGAGCGCCGCCTTGTGACGCTCAGGAGCAAGCTGGCAATGTTTTTTTTTCACTGGAAATTAATTATTACAACCTGTAGGACAATTTTCTGTTTTACCAGAGGTAGCGCATAGCCACGTCAATTTGTCTTGATACCCCCTCTCCCGTACCCCTAAAACGGTTGCCAATCCCTGGGCCCATGATGTAACCTCCGCCTCTATGCGAAATAGACCCACAAATTGGCCGCAAGGACCTCTTATTAAATATTACCCGTGGGATTAATGAGTTCGTGCGCATTAATTTACAACCTTTTGGTGGTATGCCCAGTTAAGTTGAGATGACGTCACATTATAACGAGAACCGGATAGGCTAAAAGTGCACATAGCGCGTATGCAAATGAGTCACCAACCCTAATGATGAAATCACAGCTGCATTTAATACATCATTAACTTGTGTGCCAAAAATCGATATTAACACACAAACAATGGGTGCATTCAATATCACTGTCACATGGCTTGTGCATGTTACGTTATACCTTGAACGTTATAAAACTTGCAAAAGACTGAAAGAAGCAACAGTGTAAAGCATTAGCAACAAAGTTAATGGCTTCTTCACATCATTTTGGAATTATTCTATAAATACTACGAATCTTAGTTAAGGCTATAAGTTTGATTTGAGAACTGAAAATGGCCTATAATCAACAAGTTTCATTTCCATTCTATCGTACGAGAGAAATGATCAGGAAACCAAACTATACTCTCTAATACAGAAAGATTATTCAAAAGAAAAAAGTGATTTTTTGTCAAAATATTTTTATCTGCTGGACAAGTAAGGGTATCAAATTGTAATGTGTAGTTCCAAAATGGAAGGACAAAGAAAAAAAAACATTTTGAATGGCCGCTCTGAGTCTGAGTATTGAGCGATACAAACAAACATCTGATGCGATACGCTATGCAAGGAAATAACCGAAGAAAAGCTACCTTGCAATTAAAACAATTGACACACGATTATAGGCCTATATATACCCTCTCTTTTTCTGCTTTAAGGTAAATCTTTCCCTACATGACAGCTCGGGGGTGAGAGCCGAGTTGATCTTCAATGGAACCGGCTCCGACATCAAGAGTTGGTTCACACAGACACGCCTGATTTCATCACCCTGGGATGATCTCAAATCGGCTCAGTTAACTGGAGGTCATGCACTTGGTCAGTTCTTCAGCATTGACGGTAACTATGAAAGGTAAGTATAGTTTAATATCCCCGTGGTCGATCCACATCATGTCTCTCACAAACATTGGATCACTGTCAACGTCATTTTGGCCAATAAAAGTGTCGGGTTTTTTTTTTTTTTTAGTGTAGTTGGGATTCATTTTACGGGTACTGTGTCTTAGTTGACTGGTTCCCCCTCCCCTAAAAAAATATGGGGACCCCTAAAAAAATATGGGGACCGGTAGCTATAGACCTTTCTGCGCTTGGTTGGCAAACAGCATTTTTGCCAACCACGGCCTGCAAAACTATGGAAGGTCCAACACTGCAAAAATGAAAAAGAGTTATTACAGATCTCCAAAATATTATTTGATACTTGAAAATACAACATTTTCAACAAAGCTACAAAATAATTCCTACACATGCATTTTTTTCTATGTGTTACGAAAAAGCCCGTTAGTGCCATCGAATGTATAAATTGCTCTTTTGCAAGTATATGTTTGGTGAATCTTGTTTTTCGGATGTATATGTTTGGGGAATCTTGTTTTTCGGATGAATATATTTGGTGAATTTGTTTTTCGGATATATATGTTTAGCAAGTCTTGTTTTTTGCAAGTATATGTTTCCCGAGTATTGTTTTTTGCAAGTATGTTTCGCGAGTCTTGTTTTTGTGAAGTCTATTTTTAGTAACAGTCTTGTTTTTTGCAAGTATATGTTTCCCGAGTCTTGTTTTTTGGAAGTATATATTTCCCGAGTCTTGTTTTTTGCAAGTATATGTTTCCCGAGTCTTGTTTTTTGCAAGTATAAATTTGGCAAATCTTGTTTTTTGTAAGTATGTTTCGCGAGTCTTGTTTTTGTGAAGTCTATTTTTAGTAACAGTCTTGTTTTTTGCAAGTATATGTTTCCCGAGTCTTGTTTTTTTGGAAGTATATATTTCCCGAGTCTTGTTTTTTGCAAGTATATGTTTCCTGAGTCTTGTTTTTTGCAAGTATAAATTTCGCAAATCTTGTTTTTTGTAAGTATGTTTCGCGAGTCTTGTTTTTGTGAAGTCTATTTTTAGTAACAGTCTTGTTTTTTGCAAGTATATGTTTCCCGAGTCTTGTTTTTTGGAAGTATATATTTCCCGAGTCTTGTTTTTTGCAAGTATATGTTTCCCGAGTCTTGTTTTTTGCAAGTATAAATTTGGCAAATCTTGTTTTTTGTAAGTATGTTTCGCGAGTCTTGCTTTTGTGAAGTCTATTTTTAGTAACAATCTTGTTTTTTGCAAGTATATGTTTCCCGAGTCTTGTTTTTTGGAAGTATATATTTCCCGAGTCTTGTTTTTTGCAAGTATATGTTTCCCGAGTCTTGTTTTTTGCAAGTATAAATTTGGCAAATCTTGTTTTTTGTAAGTATGTTTCGCGAGTCTTGTTTTTGTGAAGTCTGTTTTTAGTAACAGTCTTGTTTTTTGCAAGTATATGTTTCCTGAGTCTTGTTTTTTGCAAGTATGTTTCGCGAGTCTTGTTTTTGTGGAGTCTATTTTTAGTAACAGTCTTGTTTTTTTTGCAAGGATATGTTTCCCGAGTCTTGTTTTTTGCAAGTACATGTTTGGCGAGTCTTGTTTTTAGGAAGTATATATGTAGGGACCCGATCTGCTCCTCTCCACACAAAATTGTTGCACCCCTATTTTTATTTTTGTAATAGTCCTACTAGCTAGTACTCATGGCGACCGTTTTAACCGATTTTCGGCTAACTTTTTTTAAAAAAACGAGTTTGACAATATTGATAGTTTCTCTATCAATATTGATACCACTCTGAACGCATCGCAAGTGCATTCATCTATAGGGGTCTACTGTACTAATTCAAGCCCCATTGAAAACAGTGTAAAATCAACAAAGTTCAGGGCCAAGTAACATGCAAGCCAACATCACTGGGGTTTCTGAAACAAAAAATAAATTATTGTCTTGTCTTTCATCTTTTCATTTCTTTTCAATTTTACGTACATTAGCCAATTACATTTTTAAATATTCACACCCAAATAAAATCACCTCCCGAAAAGTGATAGTTCCCGAGCCTGCATGTAGCCATTTTACAAGTGGCAACCTTCCACTTTCACAGGCAAATAGGACCCATTTTTTCATCCGTGATTTTATCAAGCCTGCTCTCAGATGGAAGCCCCAAAACCAGGGAGATGATCCTTGGGTATATTTAAACAATTCCACCGTTTTTAAAGCCAAACGGTCTCCGTTTTCAAAAGAATTTGTGGGGGGGGGGGCACTTTTTATGCTAATCAGCTGGCGTAGAAATTCTCGCTTGAATTAGTTCAGTGCGCCTTATAGGCCCTAGCCATGCAGTTGCCCGGATGTTTGCAACTCTCCTTCAATAAAGGTGGCGACGTCTACAATATCGGTGTGACTTTTTCGCCGAAAAAAGACCTAAAACTCGCAGTTTCCGGTTAAGATGCCGTTTGCTGATGATAATATTGTTGTTTGCGAGAAGTGATGCAATTATTTCGTCGTAATTAGGGGCCTAAGGCCTAAATTGAAGTAATAACGAATTAATTGGTGGCATGGCTATACTTTCATCACAAACAACAGCGCCCTCATGATGCACACCGCAGCTATAACAGACTTAAAACAAGTCAGGTGTGTTTACAAACACAAATGCCCCGCCGTGACTATTCCCATGACATAACAGCGCTCTTTTAACATCAACTTACGTGTACCTTGGTCACATGGAACGTTCATTGACAGCATTAGTGTCTTCTGTAGGTTTTATATGAATTAATCCCTAATCCCTATGATCTCAGAATAAATACAAGATTTTTGAAGTTCATATGTTAAGGATTTCTCAAGTTATCGCGCTGACAAGATTTGTCCGGACACCCCTCCCCCACACCCACACACCCACCCACGGAAGGACAAGGCGGAAACAGTATGCCCCTTCGGCTTCGCCGCGGGGCATACAAAACCAAAATTTGCCAAACATGTACTTGCAAAAAACAAGATTCGCCAAACATATACTTCTAAAAAACAAGACTCGCCAAACATGTACTTGCAAAAAACAAGACTTGGGAAATATATACTTGCAAAAAACAAGACTCGGGAAACATATACTTGCAAAAAACAAGACTCGGGAAACTTATACTTGCAAAAAACAAGACTGTTACTAAAAATAGACTTCACGAAAACAAGACTCGCGAAACATACTTGCAAAAAACAAGACTCGGAAAATATATACTTGCAAAAAAACAAGACTCGGGAAACATATACTTGCAAAAAACAAGACTCGGGAAACATTTTCTTGCAAAAAACAAGACTCGGGAAACATATACTTGCAAAAAACAAGACTCGGGAAACATATACTTGCAAAAAACAAGACTGTTACTAAAAATAGACTTCACAAAAACAAGACTCGCGAAACATACTTGCAAAAAACAAGACTCAGGAAACATATACTTGTAAAAAACAAGATTGTTACTAAAAATAGACTTCACAAAAACAAGACTCGCGAAACATACTTGCAAAAAACAAGACTCGGGAAACATATACTTGCAAAAAACAAGACTCGGGAAATATTTACTTGCAAAAAACAAGACTCGGGAAATATATACTTCCAAAAAACAAGACTCGGGAAACATATACTTGCAAAAAACAAGATTCGCCAAACATATACATAAAAAAAACAAGACTTGCTAAACATATACATCCGAAAAACAAGATTCACCAAACATATTCATCCGAAAAACAAGATTCCCCAAACATATACATCCGAAAAACAAGATTCACCAAACATATACTTGCAAAAGAGCAATTTATACATTCGATGGCACTAACGGGCTTTCGTAATGTGTTGATGGCGTTATGAGGACTTTTTTGAAAAAAATATGTTGCCAACCACGGCTTCAATATATGCGCTTACGGCAGCCCATACAAAATGGCGCCAATGTTTACAAACAAAAGAAAGACCTATAGCTCTATTTAAAGCCATTGATTGGATCACCTCTGCGCGCGCAGCATGATTGTTTATTTTTGAATCGCTACCGATTATTTGAAAATGCATGCTTACGAGAAAAAAAGTGACTCCTGTGTACCACCAACAGTACGCAAAATCGCCAGTGTCTCCCAAGTGCGCGCGTCAATCGCTTCTCAAAAGTGTGCGTGTGGGGGGGGGGGGGTACCTTGATAAGAACTACTAAATAGCGCAAAGCACTTACGGCGTGGGGTCCGGCCGAAAAAAATTGGATTCTAGATGCTCTGTGTGGTGCCATCTAAGGCAATTTCTGACCACTTTAACCCATTTGTTCTAGCAACATTAGAGACACACTCTCGGAAAAAATGGTTCGGATAACATTGTTAACTTATTTCTTATGATGGGACTGCGGTTTGGCCGCAGTCAATTGAGCGTGATCGGCTGACTGATAAGGTTTACGTACAAAACCCCAAGACAACGAGGTTTTTGTATAGAAAGCTGCTGGACCACATTTTGCGAGAGTGTGTCCGTAATGGGCCTGCCGGTAATGCTGAGCCTGCATACTGCCAAAGTTACCAATAGCATCCCTACATGATTTTCTCGTGCAAATAGGACCCATTTTGGACCCTAATTTTATCAAATCTGCTCTTAGATAATAGCCCAAAAGCTAGGGAGATGATCCTCGGCTATATTCACACGATTCCACCGATTTTTAAACTAGACGGTCTCGTTTTTTGCCAAAAATTGTGGGGGCACTTTTTATGCAAATTAACGACGCGGACGCGTAGAAATTTTGAAACCCTAATCAAATTTATTGCGCCCGCTGTTGGTCTTATTGCGCCATTCTGATATATCTTCTGTTTAGCCCAACCCCCCCCCCCCCCCACAGCCACCCCCCCCACCACCACACCGAAAAATAATGGTAATTAAATACTGTTAAAAATGTGCTCGTTTATTCAGAAATTCATGAAGCATATTCAAACTGATTGGATGTTTCCAAAGTGTCTTTCCCATTTGCAAAAGTTCCTTTTAAAAGCCCATCAACCATTAGAGACACACTCTCGGAAAAAATGGTTCGGATAACATTGTTAACTTATTTCTTATGATGGGACTGCGGTTTGGCCGAAGTCAATTGAGCGTGATCGGCTGACTGATAAGGTTTACGTACAAAACCCCAAGACAACGAGGTTTTTGTATAGAAAGCTGCTGGACCACATTTTGCGAGAGTGTGTCCGTAATGAAAAGAACCATTTTCGATTTTGGAATAATTGAATCAGCTATTCTGAGCTATAGAGAATCAAATATATGCTACAATTTTTATTCGGGGACGAAAAAAGTGTGTGTGTGTGTGAGGGGGGGGGGGGACAGACGATATGATACCCACCCCCCTTAAAAAGTGTGTGTGTGTGTGGGGGGGGGGGGGGGAACTGCCCCCGTCCCCACTGATTGACGCCCATTGTGTCTCCATGAAGGCAGCTTTCAAGCATTTCAACTGCATAGGTTTCAAAATATTGAAAAGCAGTGCCCCTCTTTTTAGTTGCCAGAGACACTTCCGAATTCAGCGAAAATCTAAGCTCATCACCTCAGAAATTGCACATACATGGTCTATTGCCATTCTGCAATAGGCTGGTCACGAACATTAGTGTTGTGATTTTGAATTCAGGAGGCGGGGTTCAGACCTATGCACATCCTGCATATAATTTGCATACATTACAGGAGGAAAACCTCCTAATGCATTCAGGAGTATACCTGTCCCTACATGTTGAGGTCCGAAGGACAATAAAGGGACAGGAAACCAGTCTACTTTTTTAGTTGGTTCTTTCTCTGTCTCTCACTTTGGCATAAAACAAAGGGATTGGCGGTTTTACATCAACAACAACTTTGGAGGATGTAAGGGAGATGAAGGCTGGCTGGTTGTGATCGAGTCTAACTCACTATTCTGCCACTGGGACAGACAGACGGCGGCTTATCCCTACCCATTCATACTCTACAGCGCAACCAACAGCAAGGTGACGTGGGACCGTGTGCGTTCAAACGGTAAGAAAAGGGTACAGTCTGCGAGTTAAATCGGACTTATGTATTTTTGCCTTCGCCAAGGCAGCCGTGTGGTTGCGAATGTCTAAGCGTCCCCGTTGTTAAACAAAGTTAATCTGATCAGGCGAAGTGAAAAAAAACATGTTTCTCGTCCCCGCCCGCTTCCTATTTGGAGGCCGCCTGGATTTTTTTATTATTTTTTATTTTTGAAAAATGCAATAAAAAAACACCGAAAAAGTCAAATGCATCTAAAACTGTTCATTGTAGACCAATACAACTCTAAATGACACTGTAAATATGTTTACTTGTCCAACTTGTCTTTCATTTTAAAAGTGTCTTTGAACAGTGGAAACACCAACGGTTGCAGGAAATTTTAAACTGGCGGCCATCTTGAAGAAAATAAAAAATAAAAAATAAAAAGCCCCGCTTCCTCCATTTGTTTCAAATACCCGGACGAGAAACATGTTTTTTTTTGTTTATTCGGCCTTACGTACTTATTATTATATGTGTAAAGGTACCACTAAGGAGACACGTTATACACGTTATCGTAATTTCTTCGCACGATGGGAGACATCGGTCATTAGGGAGACGTCACAGCCCCCATTTAGAGGCACAATTTTGCCGTCGCAATTATGTTATACTTGTTGCTCGTGGTCTAGTCAGTAAACATACCGAAATTCGTGGAAAAGGGACAAGGGAATATTGAGTTAGGGGCAAGGGCACATTTAAGTTTGAAGCATTTTGTGCACAAATCTTTGGGGATGTCTCCCAAAATGTCCAATCCAGGGTAAAGTTGTTGCTGCTGCTGCTGCTTTTGTTGTTGTTAAACATTTCTGGTAATGAAACCAAGGATTCCTCAAAAGCGCCCAAGGCACTGTTGCTCGCAAGCCTGAAGAAACCCGTGGAGAGAAGACAGTGAGAAAAATTACAGTTTTAGAGGTGGGAGGAAATGCCCAGAGGAAAATTCTGGGGAAAACCTACGGAATCATGCAGGGACTGAAAACCCAATCCACATATTGGCCCAGGCGGGATTCGAACCCGGGTCACAGCGGTGGAAGGCGAGGAAAGTGCCGCTACGCCAACCTGACTCCCCAGACGCTATAACAGAGAGTGAAATTCATGCACCCCAAAAACATGGCCATTTGAATGTTGTGTTTCTCAGAAAATATGCTCGGTATGATTGAAATGTAGTACAACGGAAGAACAAATTCTAAACTTCATGTCAGTGAAAAAAATCGCCGTCATCGATGCCGAAACGTCAATACTGGTTACTGGTAAAGCTGACCTTAAAGTCGGGAAGAAATTGCTCGAAAACGTCCCCAAATCTATGTATTTATCTCACTTTCCCGGTATCTGCCATTGATTTTATACATGCCCCTATGTGTCGCCAGCCCATTAATCGTGTTTGTGGGCAAAACGCCCTATTTGAAAGATGGTGTACGTGCATAAATACCCCACGACCACTCTGCCGATTTTCGAATTTAACGGAGGGAAAACCGCGTAACTGAAAACAATTACTTGGTTTCGTTAATGAATATTGCTCTGTCGATAGAAACTAACATACTTTGGGGGTTGCTGTTCAAAGCGGACCACCTTGGACATAATCGACACTACCGTACAGGGCATATTTGCCAACAGGCTCAAAGTTTTGCCGACAAAACGACGATGTTACCGATAAAAACGATTACGGAGGGGGGGGGGGGGGGGGAGGGAGGGAAGGGAGGGGGGCTGGTTCCACACCCCACCCCTCTGGCGACGCCCGTGATTATAAGTGGCTGCAGAAGATGCATCAACATGTTGCAGGTCTGATAAAGCAAGGGAATATCTATGTTTGTCAATATTGAAGTTAAATAGTTTATGCCGTAACTACTGCTTTTGTATTCTTATCCCCACAGATGGAACAGTTGGAAGGGCAGATAGCCTTACCATCCACATCGATGCTGAGTGAGCCTGGATCTACAACAAAATCAAGAAGGGAAGGGGAGGAGTGATCTTAGCCCCGCCCCTCCCTCCGTCGACATGTTTTGAATTTATGTAATTAACGGATTGAAATATATGCTAATAGGGTGTGATTCCTTAGCCACGCATACGCAGATCTGAAGTATGACTAGTTAGTACAACTTATTTACGGCGCCATTTACTGCTTTAAAAATAAGTCGCTTTTCGTATTTTAAAATTAATTGTACTTAAGCAGGTGTTTTTTTCTTGGTATAATGTGAAGTTCAATTACTCCATGTCTATTGACCAAATGCTGAAGGAAAAACAATCGCTCAGAATTGTTAATGCATGGTAAAAGCAACTTGTTTTGCAATAATAGCCCCCTTTTTGCTAGTCTGAGTATTAGCCGTTGTCCACGGAGCCCAGTCTCCGGTCTAACGTCTGATATATCGAAGCATGCAGATTTATGCGACCCCTCGCGTAAGCTTATCGGAGTCGACGCAACCTCGTCCCCAGTGCTTACTTTATTTCCAACCGCGTTTCCAATAGTAAACCCTGGATAGGAAACTTTCTTCCTGTATCCTGATTGGATCCCGCTATTGGCTAGTAATGGATTTTTATCGTGTACTTTGTGCTATTATTCACAACGTGCAGTACGTGTTTTCGCGATCATTCGTCCACGCCTTCTCGAAAATACTAATTTCCCTTCCAATTTGCTCATATTGATATGAAATATGATACTGCATGTTAATTGTCTCGATAAGATCGTAACAGTTTGATTTTAAAAATCGTGTTTTCGTAACTCACGCCGTGCTCGCGCTGCTACGAATTGACTCTGTTTTTACCCCAGACACCGCATACCAAAACAAACGCTAATGCGTAACGCATATCCAGGCACCAGACTGTTCCTCATTTGCATACGTGTTCAAAAATCTTGCACATGCAAATGATCCAATACCAGGGTGAGAGAGCAGGTAGTGGTGGGCGCGTACTGCTCGACACCCTGGGGACGAGGTTGGAGTCGACGTTACTAAATCGTGACGTCATTTCGTTGCGAAATGTGGACTAAAGTTTTGATTGGTCAATTCGAATGCAGTGTTTTGTAATACAACAACGGCCGGGAATAGATCCGCGTGAACACAGCCTTTGTTTGCTTTGTCTTGCATAATTATTAATCAGCGAATCTGCTCTCTCTTTAAATCACATCAGTCCTCTTTAAAATGAAAAGAAATGAAAATTTCAATGGTACTTTTGTAAAAAAAGAAAGGAATTTTGAGATTTTTTTCGAAACAAAAATAATGACAAGTGCCTGATTGTAATAACGAGCTTTAATTTTGAGTGTTTTGACCAATTTTTCAAAAGTTTACACAAACTCTTCTCTTTTGATTTTTTGTTCATTTACCGCGGTTTTTTTTTAATTCAATGAGTGGTGGCGATTATAACTTTTTACTTAAAGTCCAATACAAAATATTCTTTATTAATTTGATTTTTAGTTTTCTTTTATTTAATATTTATATTTTTTATGTTTGAATTTTAACGTGATTTGTATCGTTTATCTTTAAATTCGCATTACAAAAAAAATCCCTCTGTTAAAGTTTATGTTCACATCTAGTCTTGACCCATTTAATTCTAGTTTTATCCTAACTCTACCTCTGTTATTTAATTATTGGCACGTGCAAAGAAAAATAACAAAAATGACAATCCTAAAGAAAATGGATGCATAACTAAAGAAATCAAGTTGAGAAACTTACCCAATCAATACTTCTGAGAATGATATTCCAAAGTCATGTATTTTCCAAAAGAAATTATTTCCAGTGATGAGCGAGATGGTAATATTCCGATGTGTACTCCTTGTAACAAATGCCAAGGTCAATGACATGGTTCTCATAATCGACGACACGTGGTTCCAGAAATAGAAGAGCTCTGTGCACAAATGAGTTGCCTGCCAAAGTTTTCTTATAGTTGGTGTTAAACTCCTCAATCCCGTAAGATCACATCAATAGTAGTTTTCGTAATCCAGTATAATCCCGTAGCTGTAACATTCAAGCATAAACTCCATTTGGCTTCGGAAGCTGGGAAGAAAAAGAGTGTGTTTGCACCACACACAATTACTGAGTGTGACTTTCCATGTATTTATAGGACAAATGAACAGTGCCTCATATGAATGGAACAAAATATGTGCACCCATCCGACGGGTTAACAACGGACCGATCCAGTAAGCACCGCCCCATGGTGTTCTGATCAATCACAGCCGTGATTTATGTCCGACGTGCGTGCACAAAAGTCCGACATGCGTGCACGCGCGTATGATGCGCGCGGAAGGAAAATGCAGCGTGGCATTGGAGAGGAGCACGTGTTAATTTGCCCACGTGCGCACTGGGCGGAGCTTACTGGATCGGCCCATTAGCATTGCCATGATGCAAGCACAGCATGTTAATGCGATACGTGACAGAGGACCCTCCCCCTCTTTTGTGTTGGTCATTGTGTTACCAGAATCTCAGAAATTCTTTTGAGATATCTAGGGGAATGTGGTCGGACAATAGACTCGGAACTGTAGATTCTTTTTTCATAGGTGCGTAAGCAAAGGAATCCAGCTAGCTACGAGACTTGTGTGCATATCTCCCCCCCCCCCCCTCAAAATGTATAGTATCCACCGAGCTGAAACTTCAACAAGTTCGTTGTTATGCACCCTTCTTACGATTTTGAGCAATTTTGTTGTTTCCAATGAAAAACAAATGCACAAACAGACAACGATCGTATGTTTTTGTTGTGGGCGTCGCGAGGGAGGGGGGGGGGGGGCAAAAGGGGCAGATTCAGGAATTTTTGCAGGGGGAGGGGGGTTCATCGGCAAAGAAATCTGAAATGTAGACAGGTTTTTTTCTCCGGACACTTGGCCTCCGAAAATCAATGTGGGGGGGGGGGGGGCGCTGTTCAAATCCGACGAATTAATAACACTTTATCACAGGATAGTGTACAAATACAAGCTGGCTCTGTACGTATTTTGTGCAAAGGAGGACATTATTACCAGTAAAAATATTTCGGGTGTCAGAGCAGGGTGGAGGGGGTTCGCCTTTTTTTCCATTAATTTATATTAAAAAAAACAACATTTTTTTGGACGGAGCTGTTTTTTTTTACCCCCCCCGATCCGCGCCTGGGCAAGGGGTCCCCCCCTGGAAAAGCCACACCAAAAAAACCCAGAAAAGGAAAAAGAGGTGTGTAGTCATATTTGCTATTAATTTAATACACATTTAACAAAATGGGCGTCTGCAGGGGTGTTAAAGGGGGTGGGGTGGCCTAATGTACCCCCACCCAGTCACACACTCTCAAAAAAATGATAAATTGAGAATATGCTAGCGAAAGTACAAGGATTTTGGGGAAAATGTGCTTTGCCCCCCCCCCCCAAAAAAATCCTGGCGACGCCCATGTATGTATACCTGTAACAAGTGATCTCGGACAGGACTTAACCCACAGTAGCGCACCCAAGGGGGGGGGGGGCCTTCGGGGGGCTTGAGCCCCCCCCCCCCCGAGTTTTTTTTTTTTTTTTGTCTTTTTTGTTTTTAGTCCCACGATTTGGCCTTGGTGATATGTATGTGGCTTATTTTCGAGTAGTATAATAGGGGTGTAAGTGGCGCCACCAACATCAAAATAGGCCGCCCCTAAAAAAAACATTTTTTTTCTGCGGCCAAAAATTTTCTTCACAATTTTTTGAAAAAAAATTCTACTTTTAACAAATTTGTACAAAAATATTGTTGAACCCCCCCCCCCCACCCAAACCAAATCCTGGGTGCGCCATTGTTAACCCACTAACTCCTAAACCACCACGTTAGATAAAATCCACTAAAATATGCAGTGTTTGACAACACTACAATGTACGTCAGTCTGTGTCAGTGTTGTAGTCGAGACCGGATAGTCCGAGACCGAGACCAAGACCGAGACCTGAAGTTGCGAGACCGAGACCGAGACCAACCCCTTCAAGGCGGACCGAGACCGAGACCGAAATGGTCCGAGACCGAGACCGAGACCGCGGATAATAAATAACAATAATCTAAATAAAGTGTCAATCTGATGAAGAAACTCTAACTTTATAGGAGTACGGCAATTTGTACTAGTTTTTTTGCAATATTGAAACTTGACAAAAGTAAAAAGTTAAAGGTGGATGTTTCATCTGTTATAGGAACTGAACTAAACTGTTACAGGACCCTAAACTCCACAGCCACCCCTTGGTTTCAGCAATGACTACTAACGGATATTTAAAGGCAGCTTTAATTTTACATTGGACCTCCTTGTAAACCTGATTCAAAAAATATTTGGAGCAAGAAAATATTGATTTATTTTTTTAAATTTCAGTCATGGAATATAGACTTGTACATGTAGACCCAAAAATTGAGAGATGGTCGCCAGAGAGGCCTGGCTTAGGCTGAAATGTAATGCCACTTTATTTGTGTATAATGTCAATACCATTACATACACTATAGAAGATCGATGAACCATATTTGCCTGATCTATCTTCTGTTAATCTGCCCGCCGTCATCATCGCCATTAGCCTATTTGAGAATATGGCCGACACAATAGAAGGGCGCTGTCACAAACTGAATGTGGTGGGCGAGATGTACTTTTAGGATTCATGGCTGCGTGCGCACGCCTATTTGTGTTTTAGTAATTTACAAGTACAACATATTGCCAATATTTCAATCGTTTATTGTGATGGCCGTAAACAGCATTTAGCGATTAATGGAACAAAAGTCTTCTCGACTCATGCAAACGCAATTGACATTTAGAAAGGAGACAAGGCAGGCAATTAGACTCTATTTTTGTGTGACTATGGCAGTAGCTCAATTTGTGTTTATCACAGATGAAAAGATGAATACATGGCAAGTCAAAAATAAAGTGACAGTATGATAAAGAAAAAGAAATGGCACCCTCCATTTTGTAAAAAAATATATATACTTGGGATAAAGAACATGTTATTGAGTAGTAACTCTGAAAATTTCACGTAATTTGCATTCTCTATTCCCAAGTCGTGCCTATTTTAATAAAGAGATCACAAAATTCAGCTGTCCACCACTAAAAGCAATTTAGCGGTCTACGAATTGATGAATATCCATTAATAAATATAATGGAAAAAACAAACGTTTTCCTGCCTCTACGAATAAAGTTAAAATTGAAAAGGAAAATAGAACAAAAATCACCAATATTTCTGGGGGAAAAGAGTTGAATTGTTTCCCATATTCAAAACAAAAAATCCGCCCCCTCACTTTATGGCTGGTCTCGACTCGAGACCAGCCAAAATATCGAGACCAAAGGGGACCGAGACCGAGACCAAGACCGAGACCACAGCTCCCGAGACCGAGACCGAGACCGAGACCAGCAAAAAGTGGTCTCGAGACCGAGACCGAGACCGAGACCGAGACCGGTCTCGAGACCTACAACACTGGTCTGTGTACATGTCTATATAGGGTCAGAGCAAAGACTGAAATTTAAAAGTGTTGAAATAAATAAAGCTAGTGGTTATATGAACTGTTCTTTTACATTGGTTGATTGAATTTAATGTCAAAATGCGTTCT